AGTTACTTCCTTCTCACTCAAGAGTAACAAACATCCCGTTTTTGTACTTTACATAAATAGAACCATGAAGTATGTATTACTTTGTGTCTGCTTCTTTTGCTCATTCAGTTTTTGAGATCATCCATACTTTTACATGTAGTTACAGATCTTTCAATCTAATTATATTCAACTGTGTGAGACTGCCTTAATTGGTCTGTTTGGGTCGTTTACAGTTTGGAACACTATTAATGGTGCTGCTATGAATATTCACTGTTCTGACCAATACAGTAGCTAATAACCACAGGTGACTCTTTAAGTTTAAATAAAATTAAGTTGAAAATCAGGGGAGCCTGGCTGGTTCAGTTGGTAGAGCATGCAACACTTAATCTAGGGGTTTTGAGTTCAAGTCCTATGTTGGGCATAGAGCTTACTAAAAAAAACAATCACTTTCTCAGTTGCATAATCACATTCCAACTACTCAAAAGCCACATAGCTAGTAGCTACTGTAGCGACAACACAGAATATTAGACTCCTTCCATCACTGCAGAAAGTTTCATTGCACAGTACTGAATTTATGTGTGTGTGAGCATATAGAATTGCTGGGTCGTAGGGCATGCACATGTTCTGCATTGACAGATAACAGATAGGGTCAAACAGCTTTGGGGTATATCCATTTTTAATATTTTGTTATAAATTCTATTTTAAAATACTAAAACACTATTATTACTTTTCACCCAAGAATTGCAATGTACTAAAAATAAAACAACAACAACAAAAAAACTATTTAGAAGTAGCAACTGTTAGGACATGGAATGCTTCATAGGTAATGCACAATGCAGCCACATTATTTACCATGTCACAGGCTAAGCTAACAGATGTTGGAAATGTTTCTCATATGTAATTACAACAAAAGGTTCATTACCAATGAATGTCACAACAGAAAAAATCTTATCAGAATTTACATAATTAACTTCATTGCTAATGCAGTTACAGTATTACTATTTACCAGTTGCATTTCAATATTTTAACAATTCAGACAGCCATGTTCCTGTCTATCAGTTAAATCAGATCTGCTCATAGTCTCAATCAACACCAGGTATTACCAACCTTTTTAAGGCTTGGCAATCTGAGGGGCCAATGTTGTTGTTTAAACTGCATTTAATCACAAATGAATTTGTGCATTTATACATATATTCATTGGCCTTTTAAAAAAAATCATCTCTCCCTTATATCCCTTGCCCATTTTAAATATCAATTTATATTCTTTTACTATTATATATTACATAACACGATTGACCATGTATATCCTTTGCCCATTTTAAATTACAATTACTAATTTATAAATGTTCTTTTTATATTAAGGAAATTAGTCCTCTGCCTATATAAGTCTTACATATATTTCTTAATTCATAGTTTATCTTTTCCTATAGAATCGTTTTAAATGGTAAGTAGTCAACATTCTTAATTTCTTCCTTTTTGGCTTGTGTCTTATGCCATACTTTGAAAGCCCCAACTTCTCAAGGAATATATGAAAAATTAATTCCTGCTTTTTTTCTGGCATTTGTTTTTAAAATATTTGATATATCTGTAATTTACTTTGGTATAAAAAGTGAGATGCAGATTCAGCTTTATATTTTTCCAAGTGGCCTGACATGTCTTTGTAAGACACTGCTCGTTACCCACCTGGTATCCATTCTCCCTTACTAACAGAACTGTGACTTTGTTTAAGGCAGAGACATATCCAGGTTAATACACTTTCCTAAACTCTTGCAGCAAGGGATGACCAAGTGATTCAGTTCTGTCCCAAGATACAAGGTGGTGAAGTCACAGAATGCAATTTTAAAAAAAAGGCAACTTTGACTTGACATGTTCCTTTTGGCCTCTTGACTTTCACCTTTCTTTCTGCTAGGAATCTAGCAATGAAATGAAAGCCACACACTCAAAAGGGCAGAGTAAAAAGATAAAAGGAGTCTCTGAGTCCTCAATGACATTAAGTTGCCATATTTGTCCTGGATTATATACCCTTGGATTTCTTACCATGTGAGAAATATAAACTCATATTTAGTGAAGTCATTGATCATAGGGTTGCTTCTTGTAACCAAATGTTTTTTATCTGATGCAGTATCACCTCTTATTTAGTAATTCATCTTTAAGTGTTTCTTTATTGTTGTTGTTGTTTTGATTTTTGTTAGTTATCTATACACCCAACATGGGGCTTGAACTCACAACTCCAAGATTGAGTCATATGCTCTTCCAAATGAGTCAACCAGGTGCCCCAATAATTCATCTTTTTTTTTATCAATTTAACATGCCACCTTTATCATGTACTAATCTCATATATAATTGGGTATATTTCTGGAAACTCTCCTTTTTCATTGATCTAAATGACTTCAGTATTATCAATAGCTAATATATTAGCTAATGTGTACCAAGTACTAGGACAATCCAAAGGACAACAGCCCTTTGAGCTTTTATTATTTAATATTAATGTGCAATACTTGAAAGCCTAAAACTAACATTGACTTTAAAAAGCGGAGGGGCGCCTGGGTGGTTCAGTCGGTTGAGTGACCGACTTTGGCTCAGGTCATGATCTCATGGTTTGTGGGTTCAAGCCCCACGTCGGGCTCGGTGCTGACAGCTCGGAGCCTGGAGCCTGCTTCTGATTCTGTGTCTCCCTCTCTCTCTGTCCCTCCCCTGCTCATGTTCTGTCTCTGTCTCAGAAATAAATAAATATAAAAAAAATTAAAAAAAAAAAAGTGGAATAGGAAGAATTAAAAGGGAAAGCAAAGGAAAGATGTTTCCATTATTTATACAATGGACTGTGATAAAAAAAAAGACAACTATACCTAGGTTGTTGAGTGGCAACACTGATATTCCAGATCATAATGAAAAGAACACTAGATTTGAAGTTTGGAGACTTAAAAAAAAATTTATTTTTAATGTTTATTTATTTCTGAGATAGAGCATGAACGGGGGAGGGTTGGAGAGAGGGAGACACAGAATCCGAAGCAGGCTCCAGGCTCTGAGCTGTCAGCACAGAGCCCGACGCGAGGCTCGAACTCACGGACCATGAGATCATGACCTGAGCCGAAGTCGAATGCTTAACCGACTGAGCCACCCAGGTGCCCCACTTTTCTTTTCTTTTAATATTTATTTATTTTTTTGGAGAGTGCAAGCAGGGGAGGGGCAGAGAGAGGGGAACAGAGGATCTGAAGCTGGCTCTGTGCTAACAGGCGACAGCAGCGAGCCTGATGCAGGGCTCGAAATCAGGAACTGGGAGATCATGACCTGAGCCAGAGTTGGACACTCAACTGACTGAGCCACCAGGTGCCCCTGGAGACTTAAACTCTTAACTGTGTGGGTGAACAGTGTTATTTTATTATTAAATCTTTTTAAGTTTATTTATTTATATTTTGAGAGGGCGCAAGCTCGAGTGAGGGAAGGGCAGAGAGAGAAGGAGAGGGAGAGAGAGGGAGAGAGAGAGAGAGAGAGAGAGAGAGAGAGAGAGAGAGAGAATCTTGAGCAGGCTCTACAATGTCAGCATAGAGCCCCATAGGTTTGCGGGGTTCAAACCTATGAACTGTGAGATCATGCCCTGAGCCAAAATCAAGAGGTGGATGTTTAATTGACTGAGCCGCCCAAGCACCCACAACAGGGTTATTTTAGACAATCCTTTCTTAGGCCTAATTTCCTCATCTGTATGAGAAATGATTATACTCATTAGATCATCTCTAAGGTCTTGCCTAACTTCAACTAAACTTCAACACTCTGAAAGACTAATGCTAAGGCTGCTGGTTTTGAAATGCACTGGCTTTGGATTTGAATTCAGGACTCAATGACCAGGTTCATGTATTCATTCAAAAAAACTGGGATACACTGATGAACATGTCAGAAAATGTCCTTGTCCCAAGGGAGCTTGCATTATAGTGGAGGAATAACAGTAATAAAAAAGATGAAAAATGATAATTTACCTATGTTAGATACATAACCTGTTTAGAACCGTTAAAAAAAGATTTTAAGGGGAGCCTGACTGGCTCAGTTAAGCATCCAACTCTTGATCTCAGCTCAGGTCTTGATCTCAGGGTCATGAGTTCAAGCTCTGCAATGGGCTCCAGCCTGGGTGTGGAGTCTACTTAAAAAAAAAAATTAAGACTACATTATAACACACATATAGAAAAAAACATAAAACATACAGCTTAATGACTTAATAAAAACCAAACACCCATGAAAGTCCTTCTTATGACTCTTTCCAAATACAACCCTTCTCCCTTCCCATTAAGGGTAACCACTAACCTTTTTTTTAATGTTTATATATTCTTGAGAGAGATAGACAGAGACAGAGTGTGAGTGGGAGAGGGTCAGAGAGACAGGGAGACACAGAATCTGAAGCAGGTTCCAGGCTCTGAGCTGTCAGCATAGAGCCTGATGTGGGGCTCAAACTCTCACACTGTGAGGTCATGACCTGAGCCGAAGTCGGACTCTTAACTGACTGAGCCACCCAGGTGCCCCAACCACTAACCTTTAATGGTGGTCACTTTCTTGTTTTTTATAAACATGACTTTGTCAATTGGATTGTGGTAGTGGTTGTACAACTAGACAAACTTAATAAAAATTATCAAACTGTATACCAATGATGGATGAACTCTGTGGCATGTAATATACATCATTAAAGCTGTTTAAAAAAAAACTTTGCACCTCAATATGTATCTCTAAACACCATCACTTAATTTTGCCTGTGTTTGAACTTCACACAAAGGGAGCAACACAGTATAAGTTCTTTGGTGTCTGCTTTGTTCATTCATAATACTTGTGTAATTCTCCATGTTCTTACACGTGGCTCCAGTCATTCATTTTCATTGGATAACACTCCACTGTGTTATACCTATTTACCCATTCTGTGTTGATGGACATGCTGATTCCAATTTTTGGCTATTGTGTACCATGCACATGTCTCTTGTGGCATATGAACATGCATTTCTGCTGGGGAAAATCAAAAATAGAATTGCATATCTTGGCTTTTTGTATTAAAAGCATGTTTCTGGTACTGTACTTCTAAACAAGAGCCCTGACAAAGAAAACATGGCTTGGAACGTCAGGTACAGACTAATGCCAACTTAACCTGTTCAATTTCATAACCTACTAAACTTCAGCCAAATGGGTTTTCATATCCTTCTACACACCCACTATTTCCTCTGTCTGGATAGTCTTCCCTCCCACCTCTGCCTAGTTAACTTTTACTTACTCCTAAGATTATACCTTAAGCATCACTGCCTAAGGGAAGGCTTTTCTCATCTAATTCTTCTATTATACATTCTCTTGCTACCACAGACCTACAGTTCTTATTTCTCTACTTGTTGCAATTGTTTTACAATTTGTGAAACTCTCTCTCCAAAAATACTGGCTCATTAAAGTTAGTGTGTACATGTGTGGTTTTTGCATACCACTGTATCCTTGTACCTAACACAGTACCCAGCACATACAGAGTGGGCAATAAATACCTGATTGATAACTATTATCTCTTCATATTCAGGGTACCCAATTCAAATGCCATTTCTTTTGAATGTTTCATTCTTGGGACCACCACCAGTACCATCCTTTGAAAATAAATTTTTATTAGGCAAAAGATTTTCCTAAGTCCCATGGGGCAAAGAAGATTGAATATGAGGGACTTAGCACCTAGGCCCATCATCATGAATAAGAGTTAAGAGAAAATAATTCTGTATAAGGATTACAAAACATATGGAGTGTTTCCTTATCAAATGGTGCGTCCTATTTAAGTAATACTTCACATAGCAACTGATTAATACCACAAAAGTGAGTAGGGTCATTATAAAATCAAGCAAAAATACATAATTTCAATCATTTACCTTCAACAACGAGGACTTATTATGTGAATAGCAGCAATCCACTTGTATTTGATAAAAATTGCTCAGTGGCAACTATTATAGAAAAACCAAGGTATCTGTTCTCGATAAACCTAATTTACTTATATTCCGAGTGTTAAGAAAATTATTACAAATAGCAAAGTTTACTTCTCTACTATACTAATAACCTTCACATGCTCTAATTACAAGTTCAAAATACCTTATAAAAATATTTTTTCATACCAATATCTAACTTTTAAAAAATCTCAGTGATAGCACAAATATACCACTGAACTAGCTACAAGGGATGTTTAAGGAATTTTTTTCAAGCACTTGCAAACTACACATATCTTCAAAGTAAAAACGCATGGATATTTTGCATAAAATAAGAAAAGCTGAAACTACGGTTACTACCAACACAAAAATGAAAAATTGGGTATTAATTTACTGATGCCATCTTAATCATCCCGACATTCTTTCCTTTAATTAACCTCCAAGATGCAACCTCAGCATATCAAAAGAATTTCAATGAGAAATCTAACCTTAAGCTTCATGCTTAATAATATGCCTTCAACAGGGAATATTCTCATTTCTGAATTTCAGACCACTATACTCCATAGAGAAAAGGTAGGGTCTAAAATGTATACCAGTTTGTTACAAAGAAAATATAATCACAAGTGGAACTTTCTTCAGAAGATATCATGATTTGAAGTTCAGAGACAGAAGACTGTCTAGCATTATGAAGGTCAAAATCTTATTTTGGGATTTATTTACAAAGTGGCAACAGATTCTCAAACATACAGACTACTGTTAGGAAAGTACACAAATGAGAAATAAAGCATCTGTAATTCAGTTTCTAAGGGAAATTAAAATGTAGTGAAAGGGAAGATGTTAACACAAGGGTTCCCTTCAAGAACCATTTATGAAAGGTGGTGACAAAACACTATTATTTTGGGGCGCCTGGGTAGCTCAGTCAGTTAAGCGTCTGACTTCAGCTCAGGTCATGATCTCACAGTCCGTGAGTTCGAGCCCCGTGTCAGTCTCTGTGCTGAAGGCTCAGAGCCCGGAGCCTGCTTCAGATTCTGTGTCTCCCTCTCTCTCTGCCCCTCCCCTGCTCATGCTCTGTCTCAAAAAAATAAATAAATAAATAAAATAAAATAACACTATTATTTTATGTTATCAGAGCAGAGAATCGCTGAGGGTGATTTTTAGTTCTATCAAGACTTATTTCAGACTGCCATGCCATGCAACCAGAAAGAATTATATTAATACAAGCCTATGACGTGTGTTGTCATCCTTTGCTGCAAAGAACAAAACAACAAACCCAACTTGTTCACTATAAAAAAAGAAGAAAAAAAAAAAAAGAATTGCATGGAAGACATTATAACAAAACTTAAAAATGTGCCACAATTTCCTAAAGCCTAAAACTGGCTAAAATATGCATAAAAATGTAAAAGATAAATAAGTAACAATCATCTTAAAATATTCAATTAGTTTTGCTCAATATGAAAAATATTCTGTTTTTATTAGGTTGTAGAAGCATTATTTTATTCAATGTTTAAGTACAATGTAATTTTAAAAAATAAACAAAAATATCTACCTCATTATTTTCAGTCAATGCGAATTTTCACTAATTTAGAACTCTATATTAGCATTTTAATATTTGGGGAATTTTTTGGAAACACACACCATTATATAAAACTGTCTTATAGACCTTGGAAATAAGCAAGTTTAATAATGGTTCATAAAACTTTACAAATCTTCCTAAACTGTTTTCTAATACAATGAAAATTATAAAGAGATTTTGATTTTTAATCCAAATTTCAATTATTTTACAATCAATTTGAAATATAAGTAAATATAATTTACTCATAATTCTCCTTTTGAGGATTAACATTCATCACAATTGCTACAACTGAAAACACACACACGCGCACACACACAACTAGAAGAGACTATCTGGCGAGTTCTGTTTTAAAAATACTAATGAACTAATAATTAAGTTGGAATCATGATTTAAAATCAGTATGACTTAGAAAATATTATTATATAAAAATTCAAGGAAAGGACATTATCACGGTCAGCTTATCATTGTTAGCAGTAATGTCTCTGGTACAAATTTACAAATTACATTTCCAAACTGACAATCTGTTTTAACTACTTTGCTCATTAGCCCATGAGTATGTTGGTTGACCTTGAAACATGATAAATAGTACCTACATATACCCTAAAGAGCAGAAGTTCTCATGATTAAATGTTGTTATTTTTAAACTCCTTTTTAGAACATCAATACCTCATTTTATCTTCATCATTAGGGAATAAACACAATACAATACATAAACTTTTCATTCACATCTTAAAGAACTGATAGGTTAAAAAAATTAAACCAGTTTTTGATAGAATGGGTCCCAAAATGGTTTAATGTACTGCTTAGTAAAATTCTACCCCCTGGAACCAACCCCCAAACTTCTTGGGGGAAGATTCAGGGTCAACACTATGAATATCAAATATAATAATTGACTGTAACAAAGTAGTGACCTCAGGAATTTCTTATGTGTGACAAATGTTTACAGTTGCTACTTCTGTAGCTATTGATCCTTCCTCACAACTTCATATTATTTTAGGTTCCAGAAATTCTGTCCCTCTGGTGCTTCAATCTATTGTCCTAAGCTTGTTTTTAAAAATTAGCATATGTAATTTTCACATTATTCTGGCTCAAAGATAGCTCCACCCTTTTCCTGTAGCTTAAAATAAATTTTTCCTTTTTTTTTTTCCCCCTTTCTTTTTTAGGGAAAGGAGGAGAGATGGGTTTGGTACTTTGAAGACTTGCTTCAGAGTTGCTAGATATTTCCTGATGCATAAAGTTGTTAAAGGAATGGTATCATATTGAGGACAGCAGTTAACTCTTCCAGCTGAGACCAGAAAGGATAATATAATTTGCTGATAGTTAACAGGCATTTGCTGTTTTATGGACATAAATAAAATATTTAATCTACTTCACAAAGTTATATTAACTAAAGTATACACCAGGGTATATGAAATAATTTGCAACAAAATTTCACTAAAATTTCTTAATATTTCCCTTAGCAAATACTGTACATTTGTTAGAGTACCTGATACTTGTTTAGTAATACAGGACAAGGTGTTATAAAACAAAACACACAGCTGGGAAGCATTTTATTTTTTTCTACTTCATATAACATTATTCAAGACCACAAGATTTTAAAGGTCTCTTTCCAGCAACTTTTATGACTTAGGAGTACCACTTAAAAATATTTCTGATGCTATAAATATTACTATTTCTCTACATATTGACAATTTTAATAATGCCATATCCATTATACCTCCTGCTCCTTTGGTCAGAAAGATAAACATAAATTGAAATCAGATATTTAGGCATTCAAAAATAGTTTTTCAAAGCATACCCAAGCAAACCAAATCTACAGCAGCAACTGTTAAAAAATTAGTTTTAGTTGTTATTAGGACTCTTAACAAGGACATACTGAAGCATGTATGAGATTTTTAAAATTATACACAATTTAAAAAACAACTCTGAATTTATAAATAAAAGATTAATGGCCAAATTAAAGAAAGGTTAAGCATCAGATTGAAAATATCTCAACTTTTAGGCTATTCAGAAATATATTTTGTGAATAAAAAGAATAATTTCATAAATATATACGTATAAATATAAATATATATCTACAGGATCTGCAATGCAGGAGAAAACCCTTTAAAGAAAAAATTGCGCTTTTAGATTATTAGGATGCTGCCATATTTACCCTTTGAATGAAATATAATTACCATTCCAGGTGCTTTTGGCACAAGTTTTTAGGTGAATATTGACACAATCTTAAAAACACAATGCTTTTAAATTTTATTCACTGGAATATGAAGAATCAAACAGAATTCGGAATTCTGACCAAAAAAAATCCAGATAACTGCAAATAATACAAAAAAATGTTGTTTTAAAAAGACTTTCAACCTGCCTTTACATGTGGAACATGTAAAATTTTACCAGCAACAGGATTTCTTCAATCCCCTTAGCAAGAGTTCCCAGCCTACACACACAAATGTAACATGTCTTTTTCTACTCATATATGACTTAGATCACACCCCAGTATATAAGGACAAAAAATAAATGTATAGTAAAAAGATTGGATAAATCAGGAGAGGCTTTTTGGTCTTGAATTCTTCACCCACTAACAATGAAGCAGCACTGTAGGCAGCCCAAAACACACCAAACAGCTTTAAAAAAACAAACAAAAAAGACAAAAGGCAGCATATTAGCAAGTCAATTAACATTCTGGGTATCAGACAGTAAAATAACATTCACAATAGTTTCTTAAAACAACCCTGACAACCAATTGTGGTAAACAGTAAAACTTAATGTTTAAGATTATTATTAAGAATGTTTATCCTTGCTTTGTTCCTTGACGTATGCAAATGAAGTCTTTTGTTATCACACTTGTCTAATCCTAGGAATGACTCGGAGTGCCTATTAAAAAGAGAATCCGGGGATTCACTCTAGCTTGCTAAATCAAAATCTCGTCAGGGAAGGGTTTTGTTAATTAGTCTTTTTAACAGTGTCCCTGGTGATTTAAGATAAGGCAAGTTTTGGCTAACTGAAAGAAATTTGGCCAACTGAAAGAAATGTGCTGAAAGAAAATTAATTTCATTACAAAGTAAACTTTTTCCTGTTTTTTCTTCTAAGAAGTAGGAAAACAGACTAAGCGAAAATTTTACACAATGTTTATGAAATAGAACAGCATTTTCCCAGAAATTGGTAAAAGTATGGGGTTAAATAAAAAGGAGAAAAAAAATAACAGTTTGGTCAAGAGTTTAATTAAATACAATGTACTGTGGTTTTCAGATTATACGTGTACCAAATTTTAAGCTATTTCCACTGGAAACTTATAGAACACTTACTGATGTAGTTGCAAACGGCATTTTATAGAATAAAATTAAAGGAAGAACTTCAAGGGTAGAAATCAGAGAAACTATGACAGAAAAGGACTTGGCACAGGGCAGGATATCTCAACCTTGTACTACTGACATTTTGGAGCTGGATAATTGTTATGGGAAGCTGTCCTGTGCATGACAGGATTTTTAGCAGAATCCCTGCCCTTGACCCATGACATACTAGAAAGATTCCACTCCCAACATCGTTTGTGACACCCCATATGTCTCCAGACATTGCCAAATGTCCTTGGGAGGCAAAATCGTCCTTAAGAACCACTGGTAGAAAGGTCAAAAATAAATACCGACAGCCTGAAAATGTATTTGAGATGGTCCGGTTTTCTACTGTTCTTTTTAAACTAAAACAAAAAGCTACAAAATATTTTAGACTTTCAGAAAAGTATAGGGAAATATATGAAATAAGATTATGATCAAATTGCATTTGTATGTCATACATTTTTTTTTGTTATAAGTAAATAGTTAAAGATTGGTAAGAATTACAGAGATTTAATGTTAAAAAATAATGCTTGTAGATTAAACTGTATTCTAATGAGATTTAAATGATAAGAGTTTTGCAACATATTTCTCCATAAATCTTGGACTTGGAAACAAACATACAATGGCTCACTACAAACAGAAGATTAAACAATTAGGAAAAAGAACTGGGGAAAGAAAAATCTGAAGTTTAAAACAATTGTATCCTAAAATTTTAATGACAAAAGACTTTCTGGTTCATAATAATACATTCATAAATTGCATAAAGAATGTTAAACACCAACTTTCAATTGAACTTGATTACTAAAAGTGACCAGAAGACACACAGTTTTAGCAATTTTGGGAGTAGTCTTAGAAGTATTCAAACAGGCTTTAACCCAAGTTAAAACAACACACAAACAAGAAAGATCCTGAATGATTCAGTAAAGTGGTACGTTCACTAAAGCTAGATAATTACATGTCAGCAATGGGGCTAGCTTCTGTACTGTAAGACTTTTAAATTAAGTGCTGATAATGCCAATTAAAAAAAAAAGATTTCAGGATTAGAAGGCAGAGAGAAGAATGATCTGGTACTTGGTCTCTAAAGTGATCAAGTAGTTCTAATATACAAAGATGTTCTCAAAATATTCTTTTATAATATAGGTAATAACAACTACTAATTGAGTGTCTTCTCTGTGCCAAGCATAAATACTTTACCATTTTGATAATGAACCCTAAAAAACAGATGTCAAGATTCCCAATTTGCAGAGGAGGATAAGAAAAGGTATCGCCCCAAGCGGGTAGCAAATAAATGGAAGAACCAGATTTCGAATTTAGAACTAATTGGTTCCAAAATCTCTACTCTTCTCAATACCTAATACTTATATCTCATTATTACCCTGTAGTTAACCAATTCTAAAAGGAATCTTTTCTCCCATATATTAGAATTAGTAAGGGACTTTAAATAAAACCAAATGTCAGAAAAATTAATTGGCTGTACTTAAAAACAAATACTTTAATGTGAAGGCTACATAATGGCAGTTCTGAAAGTGGTAGTCTTAAGAAGTTCTGTATTTTTGGGGCACCTGGGTGGCTAGGTCAGTTAAGCGTCTGACTTCGGCTCAGGTCACGATCTCAAGGTTCATTGAATTCAAGCCCCGCAACAGGCTCTGTGCTGACAGCACGGAGACTGGAGCCCACTTCAAGTGGCTCTCTGCCCCTCCTCCGCCCCTGCTCACATTCTCTCAAAAAAAAACATTAAAAAAAAGAAAAAAGTTCTATATTTTCTCATAAAGAAAAAAATTACATTCATTGTGTAATATAAATACATGTGCTAAGCATTTATTTCCCAAAGTTATTCAAAATTTAGGTTATCTTACTACTTATTAATACTTAATATTATCAGTAAATGTTTAATATGCATTTATGTTAATGTAAATTTAACACAGCATAAAGAAGTGCTGATCTCTGCAACATAGAAAAGCCAATTTATTACAACCATGTCTTTCATATTTGATAAGGGAGTTATTATTCAAATAGGAGTACCAGTTATTAAATAAATGTCTGGTAAAATCTTAAATATAAGTCACCTACAAAATCTAAGTCCTATGAAGTTGTATTATAAACACAGAGAAGAGCCATTTGCAGCTACAGGGATGGAACTAGAGGGCATTATGCGAAGTAAAATTAGTCAGAGAAACACAAATATCGTATGACCTGACTCATATGAGGAATTTAAGATACAAAACAGATGAGCATAAGGGAAGGGAAGCAAAAATAATATAAAAACAAGGAGGGACACAAAACATAAAAGACTCAAATACAGAGAACAGAGGGTTGCTGGAGGGATTGCAGGAGAGAGGATGGTCTAAATTGGTAAGGGGCATTAAGGAATCTACTCCTGAAATCATTGTTGCACCATATGCTAACTAACTTGGATGTAAATTAAACAATAAATAAATTAAAAATAAATAAAAATAAATAAAGGTTATGGAAAAGACCAAAAATAAATAAATAAACAAACAAACAAACAAACAAACAAACACACAAACACAGAGAAGAAAAATTCAACATTAAAAAATTTATCTGAGGGGTGCCTGGGTGGCTTGGTCGGTTAAGCGTCTGACTTCAGCTCAGGTTATGATCTCACGATCCGTGAGTTCGAGCCCCGCGTCGGGCTCTGTGCTGACAGCTCAGAGCCTGGAGCCTGTTTCAGATTCTGTGTCTCCCTCTCTCTCTGCCCCTCCCCTGTTCATGCTCTGTCTCTCTCTGTCTCAAAAATAAATAAACGTTAAAAAAATTTTTTTTTAAATAAAAAATTTATCTGAGTGTAATATCCTGTACCCTGATTTGCTCTTTGTTCTTTACTCCTCTCTAGACATACATTATAATTTCTGGTGATTAAAATGAGAAAATAGGGGCGCCTGGGTGGCACAGTCGGTTAAGCGTCCGACTTCAACCAGGTCACGATCTCACGGTCCGTGAGTTCGAGCCCCGCGTCGGGCTCTGGGCTGATGGCTCGGAGCCTGGAGCCTGTTTCCGATTCTGTGTCTCCCTCTCTCTCTGCCCCTCGCCCGTTCATGCTCTGTCTCTCTCTGTCCCAAAAATAAATAAATGTTGAAAAAAAAATTTAAAAAAATAAAAATAAAAATAAAAAATAAAATGAGAAAATAAAAGAAACACAATCAATGACTAAGATCACTGTTCCAAATACTTACAAATGTTTGATAGGTACAGACTACAATATTCTGAGCAGAGAACTAGTATACTTTTGTTATTGGAAAATAGTTAATTTTTATGATATACACTACTTACTTTTATAAGTGTAGATACCACTTCAAATGATCCAACCACCAGAAGTATAGGGGCTATAACAATGAGAGGAAGTAGTGAATATCCTATAACTCCAAGAACTTGGCCATATGCAACCTGTGAATTTTCAAAATTTTAAATAAATATCATAGAAATCAAGGTAAATTATTTTAATTACTACTGAACATCACATATTTATTGTTGTACTTTCATAAATGTGAGATTTAAGAAGAAATCAACAAGTATTAGGGCATCTGGGTGGTTCAGTTGGTTGAGCACCTGACTCTTGATTTCCGCTCAGGTCATAATCCCAGAGTCACGGGATCACGCCCTACACTGGGCTCTGCGCTGAATGTGGAGGCTGCTTAGGAATCTCTCTCTCTCTCTCTCTCTTCTCTCTCTCTCCCTGCCCCCAACCCTTTCCTCCCCAGCTCGTGCTCTCTCTCTAAAAAGATAAATCTTAAAAAAAAAAAGAAATCATGAAGTATCATATGCCTTATATTTCAAATTATCATATAACCCGCTATGTTCCTACAGTCTTATCAATCTACTACTGTTTCAATTATCATCAATTTTCTGATACCCAAATCTACATTTCCAGCCTTCTCTCTTTTGAGACTTATATATCCAATTACCTTCACTACAACTACAGTATACTTTGTCACTACTTTCCTTAAAGTTGTAGAAGGATTACTTTTATTTTAAATTTTTTTATTCATTTATTTTGAGAGAGAGAGAGAGCACAAGCAGGGAAAGGCATAGAGAGAGGGAGACAGAGAATCCCAAGCAGGTTCTGCTGTCTGTACAGCAGCCCAATGTGGGGCTGGGACCCACAAACCATGAGATCATGACCTAAGCCAAAATCAAGAGTTGGAGGTTTAACTCACCCAGGCACCCCAGAAGGATTACTTAAAGGGATCACAACCATCTTAATTCAAGCAAAAAAATCAAGGTCTCGAAAGCTACATGTGGTAATTGCAGACTAAAAGGGAAGGGAGGGCAGGAAGAAGAGACTGAAGGAAAAAATATTTTTTAGTGGCTACTGTGTGTCAAGCTCTGTGATAGATCAAGACAGATCAAATGCAGCAACAATCCTGCAATCCTACAATGGAGGTATTACTGCCTCCATTACGAAGAAACTGATTTTTAGAGAGACAAAGTGCTTTGTTCAGGAAAGCAAAGTTGGTATGAGAAAAGAGTTCAAATTAAGATCCAGGTCTCTTAACTCCTACATCAACAGTTCCAAATTACCAAGGCATTTAGTGATATCTTTTTTCATATAAATATTACATGGCATTGTGTTAAAACATAATAATATGTGAACAAATATAATTTTAAATCTCCATTAGAATTATTTTATATTTCCATATGCAGAGTGAAAAAGTTTCACAGATAAATGTTATTCTAAATTTATTTAAGGGTTTTAGGTTAAGATAATGGATTGAGCACATATATCTAGTATCATTCCCTCTTGAAACTATACTAAAAGGGGAAAAACTTTTTTTTAAAAGAGGCATAAAAAATGGAAACTAAACCACAAAATGATCATGCATTTTGAGAACACTGCACATGCCTGGGAGAAACTAAGTAGCAGAAAAATACATAGAGGCCATATAGGTTGCTCACTAGGGAGAGGAGAACTGATCCCTAAGTGACACATTAAAAATGTATAAATATGAAGGCACACCTCAGCACTCACCACAAGAAGTGATAACTAAAGGCTCAGTGAGCTCTGGATGAAACCCCTGCGCATTCTCAGAATACAGATAATGCAGATCAAGTTCATTCTCATTACTCACATACCTTACACTATTGTCAGTAATGTAAGCCCCAATGTATATATGAAATGATGAATAAAACAGGAAAAAAAAATAACACTATCACAAGAACCAGCAACAAAAGTCTGATCCTAAACTCTGGAAGTTTAGATCAGACACATGAAATAAAGAGAATAAGTGTAATGACAAAAAAGCCATTTATAAGAATCAAAGTATTATTTTGTATAAGATAACTGTATAGTTTTGGAGAAAATAAAGTTTGATGAAAGTTATTTCCTCATCTTTATAGTAACTGTCAGTTGTGACACTTTATGAATGATGGTATTTTCATACCATTCTTTGTGGCCCGCATGGTGTATAGATAACTATATATTCTATATCATAAAATACAATGTTTTATTTCATTAATAATAGAATTTTCTTCAAAAAAGAGGCTTAAACAGAAGAACAGAAGATGGGACAACAGCAACATAATTTTGGAAGCTGGAAAGCAGATAAACAAGAGCTAAGTAACACAGCAGATCTTTCTACCAAATGTGACAAAAGAGCTCAAGATCTCTACATTTAGCAATCAATTCTCATTTAGGACAATGAATCACTTCTCTGCCTGGCATCCCCTCTGCTTTACTCTCTCCACAGAATAAACTACTAGGAAAAAAAAAAAAAGAATAAACTGTCAGAATTCCTAGGTTTAAAGTAATTCACAAAGTCTTATTTAATGGGGTAGCAATTCTAAAGGTGTGGCTAATGGGCTCCTGAGGGTCCCAGCAACTCTTCCAGAAGAATGGAAGGTCAAAACAATTTCATTTCTTTTCTTTTCTATTCTTTTCTTCCCTTCCCTTCTTTCCTTTCCTTCTTCCCTTCCCTTCTTTCCCTCCCTGTTAATGTTTATTTATTTATTTTGAGAGAGAGAGACAGCGTGAACAGGAGAGGGGCAAAGAGAGGGAGAAAGAGAATCCTAAGCAGGCTCTGCACTGTTAGTGCAGAACCTGATGCGGGGCTTGATCCCATGAACTATGAGATCATGACTTGAGCCAAAACTGAGTCAGATGCCTAACTGACTGAGCCACGCAGGCGCCCCGATAAAATTCTATCCTTAAGCAAAAATTAGAATTTTGGAAAAGTTGTGTCTACCACTGTAAGGTTAACAGTTTTCTAACACACATTTCTGATGAGATAGGTGATATTAAAGAATGTGATTTTCTGTTAGTGTACAGTAAGATGTGTCAACATTTAGAAGATCAGCAAAACCCAGTGAACCAGTATTTTCCAAATGATCATGCATGGGTAAAAAGATTCACCCAAAGTGACTTTTAATGAGACAGAATATGAAAAGTTCATTAAAAGGGTTTGAGATTCCTTATTGCAACAAACCTTTAAGAAACTACTACTTGTTGAACATAGGTGTAGGATCAGAGAAGAATAGCCACAATCATCTGAAAAAGCTACTAAAATACTCTTCCTTTTCTGGGCGCCAGCGTCTGACTCTGGATCTTGACTCAGGTCATGATCGCACGGTTTGTGAGTTCGAGCCCCACATCAGGCTCTGCACTGACAGGGTGGATCCTGCTTGGGATTCCATGTCTCCCTCTTTCTCTGCATCTCCCCCACTCACCATCTTTCCCTCTCTCTCAAAAATAAACATTTATTGGGGCGCCTGGGTGGCGCAGTCGGTTAAGCGTCCGACTTCAACCAGGTCACGATCTCTCAGTCTGTGAGTTCAAGCCCCGCATCAGGCTCTGGGCTGATGGCTCAGAGCCTGGAGCCTGTTTCCGATTCTGTGTCTCCCTCTCTCTCTGCCCCTCCCCCGTTCATGCTCTGTTTCTCTCTGTCCCAAAAATAAATAAACGTTGAAAAAAATAAAAATAAAAAAATAAACATTTATTAAAAATAAATACATAAAAGTCTTCCGTTTCCAATTAAATATCTGTTTAAGGCCTTATTTTTTTCATATACTTTAACCAAAACAATGTTATCAGAACAGACTGAATGCAGAAAGCAGATAGGAGAATCCAGCCTCCACTAAGCCAGATATTAAAGCTACTTACACAAATGTAAAATAATGCCACTCATCACTTTTTTGTTTTGAAAAAGATTTTTTGCTACAAAACATATTATTTATGCTAAAATGTATTTGGCTTTACTTTTAAATGAACAAAAATATATATTTAAAATTTTTATTTTAATTTCTAACATGGAAAGTATTTATAAATATAACCCACATAAAGACATCTCTTTGGGACCTGAGACCAAAAAGTTTGAGAACTGCTGTACTAGAGAATAAATTATATGCTTCCCTGAAAAGCTGTAAATTACTTATGAGTGGTATGGGATCTTTTCTTTCATCTACCTTTCTTGTAACATTTATTGAGCATGCACAATACTAACATGCTGATCATCTTAAAGGAAGTAGCATAACTTAAAACCAATTCCACGACAAGAAATAGTTATGATGAATATATAGCTACTGATGATATCTACAATACCAAAAATAAAGCTTATGATAAAAAACAAAGGCTATTTTCAAAATTAACCACTTACTTCTCCACCAAGAACTCTGGCCAGTAAGAAAATTGTTAGGGAACCAAATATCCAAATAGTTATAATCCATGAGACCACCTTAAGGGAAAAAAAATTCATGCAATTAATAACTTTGTACCAAAAAATTGATTAATTTCCCAGGAAGTCAATTCTCTTCTAATATAAGACAGCTTGGTGTTTCCAATTTCAGGTTATAGAGTCTGAATTCCCAGTTATCTTTCCAAAACCTAGTAAGAATGCAATGTGTTAATACAATTTTACATCCAAACTGAAAATTTAGCAATGTTCAATTGCCTAAGGAAATCTCAGTATTTCAAGATCTATTATAAAATATTAATGCAAAAAAAGAACAAAGTGTTTACTTTGTAAACCTCTGGTTTACAGCATCTTGCAAGGAAGATTCATCACCAAAAGAAGTTATAGATCTTATTGGGAGGTCTTTAAAATTTACATTAATTACATATGTATCTAAGTGATAGAATGTGGAAGACTTTCAGACAATTTTAACTCCTGAGACAATATAATAATGATACATGCCTCCACTTCTAAGTTTCATCTGCTTCGAGGTTCTAGAGATAATGAAGCCCCAAAAGCAAAATAAGCACAATTATTGCCCAGATCCTGGTTTCTAAATATCATTCCCTGATAAAAGGACGAGGATTCCTTTGATAAGTAATTGATTCTAGGGATGGAGCACGGAAGATAAAAGATGAGCCCAGAACACTCTGTAGAATTAGAAGGAAAGGAAATGTTCAAAAAAAGGATGGGAATATGTCTAAAGGACACAGAAGCTAACCTAAAGAAGCTCTCATTGGCTAAAGCAGGGATAACCTTAGCAATAAAATAAGTGACAATAGCACTGGATGATAATCCAGAAAATAAAATAAATATTCATGGTTCCATACTGACATAAACCAATCAATCAATGATTAAGCAATGGTAAAGAAGGGATAGCTGCTCCATACAGAATACCAATTAACACATGTGGAAGGAATGAGGAAAACAGAAAACTACCATTCAGTAAACAATAGTAATAATTGCTGCATGCAAGATCCATCTGTAGATACTAAAATTAGTGGGCTAACGTTTGATGAGAAACACGATGTCTGCATAGTCATCAAGTATGTCTACAAGATATTTATTAATTAAAAAAAGTAGGGATGCCTGGGTGGCTCAGTCAACTGAGCATCTGACTTCGGCTGAGATTATAATCTCACAGTTCGTGAGTTCAGGCCCCATGTTGGGCTCTGTGCTGACAGCTCGGAGCCTGGAGCATGCTTCGGATTCTATGTCTCCCTCTGTCTCTGCCCCTCCCCCGCTCATGCTCTGGGCTCTCTCTCTCAAAAATGAATAAAACATTTAAAAAATTATTTTTTTAAAAAAGGGAAAACAGCAACTTTACAGTGGAGGATTTAGGCACACACCACCTCATCACCTAACCAAGCGACCAATGTTAACAGCACCAGTAATAAGATTTATCAAGGGGTGCCTGAGTGGTTCAGCTGTTTCAGCATCTGACTTTTGATCTCAGCTCAAGTCATGACTTCATGGTTCATGGGATTGAACCCCATGTCAGGCTCTGCACTGAAAGCATGAAGTCTGCTTGAGATTCTCTCTTCCCCTCTCTCTCTCTGCTCCTCCCCTGTTCACATGCTCTCTCTCCAAATACATAAACTTGAAAAAAAAAGATAGTCATATCACATACTCCTTGATAGTATACTGAGGTGGGCACAAAGTAGTATTCTTGCTAAAAATTTATGACCCCAATCTAGTCATGAGAAAACATCAAGCAAAACCAAATTGACCAACATTATATGGAGGTAGTAATCTGTTTTAAGCTTTAAAACCCTTTGTTCAGGGGCGCCTGGGTGGCTCAGTTGGTGAAGTGGCTGACTTCGGCTCAGGTCATGATCTCGCAGTCCGTGAGTTCGAGCCCTGCGTTGGGCTCTGTGCTGACAGCTCAGAGCCTGGAGCCTGCTTCCGATTCTGTGTCTCCCTCTCTCTCTGACCCTCCCCCGTTCATGCTGTCTCTCTCTGTCTCAAAAATAAAATAAACGTTTAAAAAAATAAATAAATAAAACTCTTTGTTCAAATCAAAGATTATACAAAATAGATAAAATTAGAGATGCTCTAGATGAATGATTAGTGGTAGGTAGTAGACCAGCATCCCCATTCAACTTCTTCAATTCACCTTACACTTCCAACAGAATACATGATATAAACTACTGATCTAAGGTAAATATTAGTAAGGATCTTGCTATTGGGAGATTATTCTGGATTATCCAGATGAGAACTAAATGTAATCACAACTGTCCTTATAAAAGGAGGCAGAGGGAGTTTTGACTACTGTAGAGAAGTTGTTAATGTGACCATGATAACAGAGATTGTAGTAATGCTGTCAGAAATCAAGGAACAGTGACAGCCTCTGGAGTGGGAAGAGGCAATCAAAAGAATGTGCCCTGGAGTCTAGACAGGACCAGCCCTGCTGACATTTTAATCTTAGCTCCTTCGAACTTATTTTGGATTTCTGACTTCCAGAACTATAAAAGCATAAATTTTCACTGTTTTAAACCACAAAACTTGTGGAAATTTGTTATAGAAGCAACAAGAAGTAAATTCATTTCCGAATCATTTTGTGATGAAGTTATTTTTTATTCCTCTAACGCCTTAAACTAGGAATTAAGGAGTGATATATGTTGTATTTTGATAATAAAGATAAAGCCCCCGAGAGTAGAACAAAGTATTATATAAAAACAAATACTGTTGGAATCCTTGTCATTATTTATTAAAATAATTTTTCAAGTAAACTCTAGGCAATGTGGGGCTCAAACTTATGACCCCAAGATCAAGAGTCACAAGTTCCACCAACAAAGCCAGCAAGGGACCCCTAAAATATTTATTTAAAAAAATGAATAAAAGGTAAGAACACATTATGAGTATTGTGTTTTAAACCCTTCATCCCGCGGGGAAAATCATAAAAGGCAAGGGCAGATCTTTGGTCACTTCTAGTCACTATTCACTTCTGCTCAGCTGAGAGTAGTCCCATCTATTAACCCCGGTTGCCAAATACTAATACTTTCTATGTGAATGATGATGTAAAAGTATGGAAAGCATTAATCTAAGGTACTCCCTGCTTATTTAATTAAGAAGAGTTCTAGAGATAAACAATACAGAAATAATGGGTATAAGTAAAGCATTTCTCAAACATAACATAGCATTACCCTTAATATTTGGCTATTTTTACTTTCAAACCTCTTAAAATATTTCATTTTGTATAAAGTAAGATATACTTACCCTAAACTGTCCATATAATGATATCATGGAAAAGAAAAGAACAACAGCCAGAGGGCCCCAAAAGTCAGGATTGTCTCTCACCACTTGTCTATTAAAACCAAGTGATGGCATTGGCATCAGAACACACCGGATTTTGTAGTAAATATCCTTTAGATCAATATCCAATTCCTCCCTATAATATAAAATAAAAGTTCTTAAAAGACACACACTTCTAAATACTCAGCTGCAACATAATTTAAGAAAAGTTTAAATATGATGGTGTTGTCTCCATAGGTCAACAAAGCATTACATCTGAAGTACTGTATTTCACAGATTCCACAGATATTACATTTTCTTTTTTTAATTTAATTTTATTTTTTCTTTTTTAAATTTTACATCCAAATTAGTTAGCATATAGTGCAACAATGATTTCAGGAGTAGATTCCTTACTGCCTCTTACCCATTTAGCCCATCCCCCCCCACCTCTCCAGGAACCCTCAGTTTATTCTCCATATTTATGAGTCTCTTCTGTTTTGTCCCCCTCCCTATTTTTATATTATTTTTGTTTCCCTTCCCTTATGTTCATCTGTTTTGTCTCTTTTTTTTTTTTAATTTTTTTTTTAACATTTTATTTATTTTTGAGACAGGGAGAGACAGAGCATCAACAGGGGAGGGTCAGAAAGAGGAAGACACAGAATCTGAAACAGGCTCCAGGCTCTGAGCTGTCAGCACAGAGCCTGACGCAGGGCTCAAACTCACGGACTGCGAGATCATGACCTGAGCCGATGTCGGCCGCTTAACCGACTGAGCCACCCAGGCGCCCCTGTTTTGTCTCTTAAAGTCTTCATATGAGTGAAGTCATATGATTTTTGTCTTTCTCTGACTAATTTCATTTAGCATAACACCCTCCAGTTCCATCCACATAGTTGCAAATGGCAAGATTTCATTCTTTTTGATGGCTGAGTAATACTCCATTGTACATATATATACCACATCTTCTTTATCCATTCATCCATCGATGGACATTTGGGCTCTTTCCATACTTTGGCTATTGTTGATGGTGCTGCTATAAACATGGGGATGCATGTGTCCCTTCGAGACAACACAACTGTATCCCTTGGATAAATGCTAAGTAGTGCAATTGCTGGGTCACAAGGTAGTTCTATTTTTAGTTTTTTGAGGAACCTCCATACTGTTTTCCAGAGTGGCTGCACCAGCTTGCATTCCCAAGATAGTACATTTTCAACATTTCAACATCTCTAAAATTGGGATGCTTATCACAATTGCTGGTGTCTTCCCTTAGCCTGGAGGGAAGCGAAGAGCTTCCAAGATCCTCCTTTCCATTTGCCAGTCTACTGGAGGAACTACCACTTTGGGACAACTTTAAAATCTTCTGCTTGAGCCCTTCTTGACTATATTAATAATTCAGACTGCAATCCTGTATGATGTGGTGTGGGGTTTCCATTCTCAGGGAAAATTTTTCTTCCAACACCCCACCCATTGCCAACTTGAGATAAGCAAACATCCTTGCTGCCTCTTTATGTGTGGTGGGTTTTTTCTCATCTATTCTTACACTAAGAAGACAGCCCTTGGATATCTTAGCTTTATACTGTCTTACATAATTTTTCCTTCTTATTGATAAGCATAAAATAACTGCATCTTAAAATCTATTGTCTTAAATTTGATGAAATGTGGTATATTAAGAAACAGAATGTTTCAGCACTTAATCTACCAGTAATTACAGAGATTAACTTGATAATGCCTCAATTTTACAGAGCTACAGGTTCCTTCTCAAGTTGTTAAATTCTTTACTTTTTTTGCAAATGATAATCACTTAAAAAATTTCAAGTACCATGAAGAAAGTGAAAGACTCTCTGTAGTCCTTCTAGTGGTAGCTCTAGAATTTCTATATGGGAAAGATTTTAGAGTGATAACCTTTTTGGAAGTTTTAATTTGCCTTAAACTGAATTTCCACAGCAAGCACCCTGCTTTTTTACTTAAACTGCATGTTTACTTGAGATAGTTATAGGCCCAAGTAAGCCCTAACATTTGGAGTATACATGTGTGTGTTTGTGTGTGTGTGAGAGAGACAGAACTATAATTCATTCAATTTTAGCCATTCATTAGGTTAAAAATATCCTCCCATTATTTCAATATTTCCAATTATTAGTAAAATTGAAAAACAGCTAGAACCTTACATCAAAAAGGTTAAGATTTTCCATATTTGTCTTTAAATAACATGAAAGAATACAATAATCCCACAGACTAGTTCTAAAAGTCAAAAAATACATATTACTATTTCTACATACAAGAGTGGCTTGTTATCTTCAGGATCATCATCTTCCACTTCCAAAAGCCAGCCATATCCTCTTTGTCTCAGAAATGCAGTAGCTGTAGATTCTTTAATAAAATCTCCACCAAGGTTTAATTTGACATCTGGGGATGCTATTGAACCACTAAGATCTTAGGAGAAGAGAGGACAAAATTATAAATCAAGGTAAAAATGTGTGAATCTTAACCAACATGAGCATCATATTCAAGTAAAATACTTATCATTTTTTAAAAAAGTGTTTTAAATTTGTTTTATTTTTGAGAGAGAGAGAAAGGCAGAGAGATTGGGAGAGAGAATCCCAAACAGGCTCCACACTGTCAGTGCAGAGCCCAATGCAGGGCTTAAACTCCTAAACGGTGAGATCATGAGCTGAGTTGAAACCAAGAGTTGGATGCCTAACCCACTGAACCACCCAGTCACCCCTAAAATAACTATCATATGAAGATCTCTAACTATGAACATCTGCTATTACATACGATCCTCATATTTTATAGCTGATAAAAATCTAAAAACCATCTTTTATTTTACAGCAAGGACATGAAACATGAGAGAAGTGAAAACATAAAAGATTTTAAATAATTAGCTAGACCGGTTAAAAAAAATCTAGGATTGTAACAACTTTATATGGAAGATATATACAAAATATATGATATCATTTCTGATTCCATTCATTATTACATATACTATGTTCTTCAGAACAAAGTGATTATATAAATTCTTTCTAAAGGCATTACACATATACAGAAAACCTTACACAAAATTTGCTAAAGAAAACTACAGATTTTTCTCTACATTTTTATGTATTATTCATACATCCTCTCATTTAAATCACCAAATAGCTATGTTAAGTGCTTGGTTCTGGATAAATCTGACTAGTAAGAGATCCCCACTATTTCAACTAATTCTTTTCTTTATATATTCACGTTATTCATCTTTAGTTTGGGCAACAATAAATGTGTTTTGGGTTTTTTTTGGTTTTGTTTTGTTTTTAGGTCAGCTCTAAAAAGGAGTGAAGAGGGGTGCCTGGGTGGCTTAGTCGGTTGTAAGTCCAACTCTTTTTTTTTTTTTTTTTTTTCAACTTTTATTTATTTATTTTTGGGGGGACAGAGAGAGACAGAGCATGAATGGGGGAGGGGCAGAGAGAGAGGGAGACACAGAATCGGAAACAGGCTCCAGGCTCTGAGCCATCAGCCCAGAGCCTGACGCGGGGCTCGAACTCACGGACCGCGAGATCGTGACCTGGCTGAAGTCAGACACTTAACCGGCTGCGCCACCCAGGCGCCCCTAAGTCCAACTCTTAATTTCAGCTCAGGCCATGATTTCACAGTTCACAAGTTTGAACCCTACATCAGGCTTTGCAATGACAGCATGGAGTCTGCTTGAGATTCTCTCTCTTCCCTACCTGTACGTGCCTACTCTAAGTAAATAAATACAAATTTTAAAAATCATTTTTAAAAAAATAAAAGAAGTGAAGAGATTCAGTTATGGACCTTACAAAATAAATTCCATTCATAGTTTCAACTGTGCCTTAGAGATTACAGATAGTCACACTTGTACAAACGCCCCATTTTCTGGTTGGGAAAAAATGAGAATAGTAAAGGACTTGAGGTCATACAGGAATTAAGAAAAAAAAATCTGTAGGCACAGACAATATGCACTATTAAACAACCATCAATGCTGTTAACCAGAAGCCACATGACTGGAGTGGTACTTTAGAAAATAATCTTGGGGCACCTGGGTGGCTCAGTCGGTTGAGCATCTGACTTCAGCTCAGGTCATGATCTCACAGTCTGTGAGTTCAAACCCCACATCAGGCTCTGTGCTGACAGCTCAGAGCCTGGAGCCTGCTTTGGATTCTGTGTCTGCCTCTCCCCTGCTCATGCTCTGTCTCTCTCTGTCTCAAAAATAAATTAAAAAAACATTTAAAAAATAAAAAAATAAAAAAAGATCTTAAGATTCTCTCTCTCCCTCTGCCCCTCTCTCCTGCTTGTTCGCCCTTTCTCTAATATCAATCAATCAATCAATCAATAAATTCTTTCCAGGTTTAACAGTATATGATTCTAAAGTTTTTATAAGGGAGTTTACTCAGCTATAAATAAAATGCAAGGCCTTTTGTATTCACTGTCCTTCCCTACTTAGTTTACAAATAGTCCCTGTAAATGCTATCATAGATTCTTGTGATTAAAATATTCTCTGAAATTACTTTCTGCTTGTTTTAATCTAAGTAAAAAAAAAACAAACCTCAAAAGAGGTATAATTTAACTATAATTACATTTCACTAGGTATAAAGAATGCTTTTCTTGATTTAACAAGAGGAAGATTTTGATCAGGAAGTCATTAGTATGGCAGCGTCATTAAAGGTTTTAGAGTATGAGGCAGGAAAGGACCTTGACAACTGTTTCCTGGCCTCCAGAAAGGACTGCACTTAAAATTCTTAATCTAAACAAACAAAAGATATATAAATTATGGTGCAAAGAAATACTCTGATAAAGAGTCATATGGTTAGCAGTCTGTCATAGCATGGATGCCTGAACCTCAAAAAGACACCTTTAGCTTAAGATTTTGTAGTATTTTTCATTCCATTTTCATAAAGCAAGAAAAGATGACGAACATATGCAAGAATGCCAGCAATAGCAGTTTCACACGTCCCTTAGTGCCCCCAAAATATAATTAGGTGTAGGTACAAAAGGCAACAAGAAAAGTCCAAAAAACTGGTAGTTAGCCTAACATGTTAGCAAGTTAACAAGAATGTCAGAAAATAACAAGATTCCCAACTACTCCAGGAGCACCGGTATCTTAAGTTAAACCAGAGTGAGAACCAGCTAGCTTGGTTGTCAACTCTAGGATAGGTATTATAAAATATTAATTTTAAATTATTTCTTACTATATATTTTATAATATTCTTGTCATTTGCTAAATAAAAACATGTAAAGAGAATAAGTGGATTTAAAAGAAAATAATCTTTGAATAAAATCTACTGCAAAAGAAAATCTTAAAAATGTTTCCACTTCTATTTGCCTGAGAGTGAGGAATCAGTAAATTTCAAGTTTAACAGAAAGCCACCTGGAAAAACTACAGGACAAGATTTACTAGTAATTCTCCCTTCCTTTAAACGCCAAGTGTAGGGGCACCAGGGTGGCTCAGTCGGTTAAGCATTCAACTTTGACTCAAGTCATGATCTCACAGTTCGTGAGTTTGAGCCCCACATCGGGCCCTCTGCTGTCAGCACAGAGCCCGCTTAGGATCCTCTATCCTCCCCTCTCTCTGCCCTTCCCCTGCTTGTGCTTTCTCTCTCAAAATAAACAAACTTAGAAAAAAAATAATAAACTCAAGTGTATCACTAGGTGAAGGATCTTTTCTCTGAATCTTCTCAGTCTAACAACTTCACTTGGAAAGATGAGTAAGAACTCAGTGCTGTAAGATAGTATACTCAGGATGAGATTTACTGTTCTGTTGCTAGATGAGCTCTAGATTTCTGAGAAAGAAGAATATCCTGCAATGAACAATATACATTTTGTTGATACTTTTTAACTTCTTATATGTGTGAAGAAGCTTTTTCTTATTTAACAAGCAACAAGAATGAGGATAAAAACCACCGCATTTCATTGGAAAATGAAATCCATGTGTGCTTAAATCTAAAACAGAATTGTAGATTTGTGCAGCACAACAAAACAATCACATGTTTGGGGTGCCTGGGTGGATCAGTGGGTTAAGCGTCAGACTTTGGCTTAGGTCATGGTCTCGTGGTTTCTGAGTTTGAGCCCCATATCCAGCTCTGCTTCAGATTCTGTGTCCCTCTCTCTCTCTCTACCCCTTCCCCACTCACACTCTGTCTCTCTCTCAAAAATAAACAAACATTAAAACAAATAAAAATAAATTAAAAAAACAAGCACATTTCACACTGAAAGGATAAAGTCCATTCTTCCATCTTAGTTATAAAAACATTTTGGGTGCTTTGGTGGCTCAGTCAGTTAGCATCTGGCTCTTAGTTTCCACTCAGGTCATGATCTCACACTTCATGGGTTCCAGCCCCACAATGGGCTCTGAGCTGATGGTGCAGAGCCTTCTTGGGATTCTCTCTCTCTCCCCCCATCTCTGCCTGTCCCCTGCTCATGCTCTCTCTCTCTCTCAATAAATATAAATTTAAAAACTTTTAAAATTTACTTAAGAAAACATTTTAATGCTTGCATAGATCAAAGAAAGAGATCAAGAAACCAATGCAAGTACATAATGATTGCTAGATTTACATTACAGTTTGATGTTATTCCATAAGAAAAAAATTTAAAGCCTCTTATAAAACTGTATCTTAGGTTATATTCTTATTCATAGTATTTTGATTTATGGTTTTAATAGCCTTACTATTCAATATTGTAAATTTTTTATATCGTACATATTAATCAAAATCAATTAAATCAGGGCTACTGACTGCCTCAGTTGGAAAAGCATGTAATTCTTTTTTTTTTTTTTTTTAATTTTTTTTTTCAACGTTTATTTATTTTTGAGACAGAGAGAGACAGAGCATGAACGGGGGAGGGGCAGAGAGAGAGGGAGACACAGAATCGGAAACAGGCTCCAGGCTCTGAGCCATCAGCCCAGAGCCTGACGCGGGGCTCGAACTCCCGGACCACGAGATCGTGACCTGGCTGAAGTCGGACGCTTAACCGACTGCGCCACCCAGGCGCCCCAAGAAAAGCATGTAATTCTTGACCTCAGGGTCATGAGTTTGAACCCCACAATGGGTGCAGGGATTACTCAAAAAAATAAACTAAAAAAAAATCAATTAAATCTCCTGAACCTACCTTTGGAAAAATTAAATCTCATTTTGGCATAAACATCATTTAACAGAAATTTCTTTTGTTTGCCTTATGAGTCTTTTAACTGAACCTTTTATTCTGAAATAATTGTAGATTCACAGGAAGTTGCAAAAATAGTACAGAAAGGTTACATGTACCCTTCATCAAGCTTCCTCTAATGGTACCATGTCATAGAACTATCAAAACCAGGACACTGACATTGGTATAGTCTGCAGACCTTATTCGGGTTTTACCAGTTTTATATGCACATATTCGTGTATTGTATATAGTTCTGTGCAATTTTATCACCTTTATAGATGTATATAATACCTTATGAA